ATATATATATATATAAATCTCTCACACTGTGTCCTTACAGGCACGGTTTAAGGCATTAAAGAAATCTACCACAGCAAGCAATGTCGGTAGACACAATACATATGCATGGATGACAAGACGGTGAGATTTGTCCACAAACACTTTCAGATAGTCTCCATAGTCCTGAAAAGATGTTACAGTGTCTCTCAGCTGGTACAACACTGATAAGCATTCACAGAAGTTCTCGGGGGGGTGGGGGTGGTGCAGGAGTGGACAGAGCAGAGCTTCTTCATTTACATATCCACCAGGAGCCATTTGAGATAAGTTGGCCTATCCACCAAGGCCAAGCGGGGAGGTCAGATTCAGATAAACAACAATTGTTTTGGGCAGGCAGACTCTGATTTCTGTCTGCCTTCAGTTCTGCTGGTACTCTCGACGGCAAATCCAAACAGCCAGATTTGTGGACTTTCCGCCGGTCCGTGCTTGTTAGCCTTCTCCAAGGTCGAATCTGTCATGCCGGCGAGTTCCAGGAACCGCAAGTGGCCTGCGATTTTCAGAAATGGCGTTCAGCTTGCGGTTGATTTCACCAAGCATATGAGTCTGAGCGCTCAAAGCACAAATTAATCCTTCATGTAAGGCTGGCAGCTTCACCATGGCCGAAACTGCTGCTGACGTCTTCCTAGTTTATCGATATTCTAGGTATTTTCCAATTCCAAAAAGCAGAAACCCTGTTATAATAAATTCAATAATGTACACATCTTCTACGTCCTCCATGAACAGTACAGACAGGCACATCGTCTTCCACTGCCCCCAGGAATCCATGACATTCCCAGCTGTGTGCGTCCATTCAGGGCATGAGGGCTCTCCAGCACCCTGTCTCTTGGTCAACATTTTTTTTTTTTTATCAATTGTGTTGAGAGACCAGCTGACTAGATTCATAACAATAATTTATGATTCGGAAGATGTGTAAAGAGAAGCTCTGATACACAGAACAAAGAGCAAAAGCAGGAGGAAGTCAGGAGAGGGAAGAAAAATGTCTGTCTTTGTAGAGGGCAAGTGAGAAAAAAAGATGCTATATGATGCTAAACATCTGTTTTATTATTATTTGATATATATATATATATAATAGTAATAAAAATAGCAAATAATGAAATAATAAAACAAATATAAATAAAATAAATAGCTAATTTGAGAAGCAAATTGTTGAGCTAATGTTGGTAGTGTTGCTTCCCAAATGAGCTATTTTTATTTATTTATTTTTGACATGGACATGAAAGATGCATTTTAAGAAATAGCTACAAAATTCTCAAATCAACATTTAGCGTTAAGTTACAACAATAAAGTTCACAAAGTTATTGTTTTTTGGAAATCAATAAGCTGCATTGCAAGAATGAAGTGTGAGGCTAAATGTAAATTAGTTCTGGTCTGTTCTGTTTTCTGCTGGCTCATTCTCAGGTTTTTGTGAAAACCTCTAGCGTCTTTAGATGGTTACAAAGCACACTGATGGTGTGATGCACCAGTTGATGCAATGACATTTGGTTTTTAGTGAAAAAGTTACATTATAAACAACTTCTAGAGAAAAATTTTGGAGCGGTAAAGAAGTGATGGATTAAGTAATGAGATGTTTATCTTTAGGACTTCAGTTTATTTCCTTTCTGATTCCTATCAGATGTTGATGTCTTTCCCAGATTCTGTGCCGCTTAGTGTTTAACTGAGTTAAGGTACCAAAAATGGTTAAGTTTAAGCACTGCATTGTTTAGTTAGGTGTAACCTAATGACTAAAGCATGTAGTTGACAAAGTAGAATTCAGAGTTAGTCTGGGCCTGTCAGTTCACACTAATTCATCCAAATTATGGAAATGTTTAAATAAACATATGTCATTATTTGATTTAGTATAGTTTTTAAGAACAATATTTCAGGTTTAGCATCCACAAAACTTGAGATTCAAGCCAAAAGTGAAGTCTGCTTAACTGCAACAGTATGACACCTGTTTATACTGTTCTCTTAATAGTGATAGTTCATAATTATTGTTACCTTTTCTTTTACAAAAAGGGAAGACAAAGAGTAGAAGATTTAATGTGTTGGCGTAAAATACTGTTAATATTGGAAGCTTTAAATGACGTTTTAGGTATTAATCAACCAATTAAGCTTTATATTAAATTAAATTAAATAAATTGCATTTCCTGAGAAAATGTAGTGTGAATGCTTATTGCAGAATAACTTGCTGAAAAAAAAAGCTGTAATTAGCTAAAATAACATGCTGAAATCTAGCTGAACCTGAAGAACAAGCCTAAATTAACAGAAGAAAACAGAAAGAACATGTTTTCCCAAGTAGGTTGAAAGAAACAGAAACGAGCACAAAAAATAAGAAATTAGCAACAACAACAACAAAAAAAAAGCTGAAATCAGCACAAGATAGTTGAAAAGTAGCTGAAAAGACAGAAAGAAGCTTAAACTATCAGAAGGACCAGAAATAACTGAAACAAGCTAAAAAAATTTTTTAAAGTGGAATTAACTGAAAAAGCTCAAATGAGCATAAAACAGCTAAATAATAGCTTAAATAGCAGAAAAAGCTGAAACTAGCAGATAAAAGCTGAAAGGAGCATGATAAGCTAAAATTAGCATAAAGAAGTTAATTAGGCTCAAAGTAGCAGAAATTACCAAGAAAAACTTGATTTTATCTGAAAACTGCTGAAATTAGGCAAAAAATATGCTAAAAAGGTAGCTGAAAGGTATAACAAGCTTAAATTAGCATAAGAAATCAGAAGGAACACGTTTGCCCAATTCAGCTGAAAGAAGCAGAAATCAGCACAAAAAAGTGGAAATTATCTTTAAAAAGCTGAAATTTGCAACAACAACAATAAAAACAGCTGAAAAGTAGCTAAAAAGGCAGAAGCTTAGAAGGAAGTGGTAATAGCACAGTTTTTTTGCTCTGAAAAAAGTTTAAATGAGTGCAAAAAAGTTCAATTAGCTGAAAAGGCTAAAATTAGCATAAAAACAGCTAGCTGAAATAGCAGAAAAAACTCTAACTTGCTGAAATAAGCTGAATAATAAATAAGCATAACAAGCTGAAATTAGCAGAAAGAAGTTAGAAGAAGAACAAAAATGTTGTAATTAGCAGATAGAATCTGAAAGGAGCACTAAACAGCTGAGAAAACAGCTGAAAGTAGCTGAAAAAATGTTTACATTTGCACAAGGAAGCTGAAAGAAGCTGAACCAGAACAAAATGTTAAAGGAGCAGTAAAAGGTTGTAAACAGATCTAAAGATCTGAAGGATGTAAAATGAGCTCAATTCTATGAGGAAAAAAAAAACGTCATCAAAGGCTAAATATTTCAAAAAGCTAAAGTTGCACCGATACCAAAAGTCATAGCAGGATTCTCCTGAATCGTTTTGATAAATACAAAGTAATTTGTTGAAATAGCTTCAAAACTGCAGGATGAGAATCACACTGAAAAAAGTAGCATTATTTTGTATATTTAAATTTCTCATTTAAAAACCAGTTTTGAGCTCATTTTGGTTATGTAAACATGACGCTGACCCCACAGCAGCTGTAGCAACATCCAGCGTATGAAACAGAACTTTGACTCAACTACAAGTGACCCTAAAATCTGGTTCGCATCAGGTAAAGTCTGCTGCAAGGTGTCCCATCTTGATTTGCTCATTCTCTTTAAAAACACTCCAGACCACCTACTGAGAGGCTCCTTGTTTGGATGTCTTCATCTATCTTTCGATTCATATCATAAACACGTCCAAACAAACGGCAGGCACATATCCCTAGAAACACGGAGCGGTTGGGTCAGTGTAACCTTTCTGTCACCCTCCTTTCCTCCCACATGTTCTGTGAAGTTTACCCAGTTGGCCTTTCTGCTCTGCTCACAAATGTGTGAATTTATAGCTGCCATACTTTCTTAGTTTTGCCCGGACTAATGTCATGTAGTCTTCAGAGGATTTTACTATCATTTGCCTTAATTTTAAGTGACTAGTGGCTCTTCAACACTGACCTAACAAGTTTTTGTTTCGGGGTCTTGATTTGCAGGAGTATGTCAACTCACATACATGCACAGTCTCCCTGTGTGTTTTAGCATATTCATGGTTCCACTGGATTTGGCAGCAAAGTCCTCCCTCGGCTTCACTCTAAACATTATCAGAAACTTTGAATAGCTCTGGTTGCACTGATGAAAAATGCTCCACGGTGTCGCTTTGGCCGCAGCAGGTCTACAGCTAGTTAGTCAGCCTCCTCAAAATGGTAAATCCGCAGCAACCCAGTTGCCCCGCTGAATGTTTTCACAGCTCGCATTCCTCCCCGGACAGAATTATATCAGCTGTCATCTCACTTGCAGCCTCTCCATAGCAAGGCGGGGACAAGCTGGCGCTCAGAGACATTTATATTTAAATATAAACCCACAAGACAAAGCCTTGTGTTGTTTAACGGCAGCTTCACGGCTGTCTTTCGTAGCACTAAATTTATTTAGCTCTTTTGCACATCAGACAGACGTAGGCTGGATTTAAGCCTTCAAGTTTAAGAACTCTGTTTTTGTAAAGATTTGTGCTTATACAGTAAACGTCTCATTTAACACCTGCCTGTTTTGATTTGTCTACTTAAATAAAGCTAATCTCAGATGCCTTTATGTAATATGTAATAATTTTAGCCAATATTAGTTGCATCAAGTTAGCAAGCTGTCTTCCACGCAGGTTTATATTAACTCAAGTTTATGAAGCCATTCAAATGGGGTTCTTTGAACCTTGATTTTACAAGTTTTAGCTCAACAAAGACATTACAGCTGAGGATGCTCCACTTCCTCTTTGGGAAACCACACCCATTGATGCCATCGAAACAGTTCCTCCAATTTAACCCTGTGGTTTGATTCCACATATTAGTTTATTGGAACATTGTAAGTAGGTGCACAAACATATGACACTTCATTTAGAAATGTTTTCTACTCTTAGCTCTGCAGCAGAAGGTAGAACAAACATTGGTCAGGTCTCTGATAGCTGCTACTCTATTGTTAGAGATGAGCTGGCAGTTACACAGATAGCGAGACAGACAAGCGGACGTCTCTCATTGTCCCTGTCTCTTTTTAAACGTACGATCACGTCCTCTCAATAAAGAGAGTCAAAGGAAAGGTGGGAAATCTGAAGAGAACTTTCCTTTTAAACACGCAGTAAATTCAGAACACAGTTTTAGAGGTTAGCCTTTGTTAGACTTGTGTCCAATTTAAAGGCAATGACAATTTTTAAGACTTTTTCTCCTTAAAACATGCTGCTAGGTTGTACCCTGAGCTCTTCTTTTACTCTAATGGGATCGAATAAGTAGGCACTTGAATTTGAGTCACAAGTCATGAGATTTGTTTTTATTTCTTAAGTCAGAGTCAGAATCAAAGTTTCTTTATTTGTCATTCGCACCACATGTGGCACATGTGGTGGAACGAAATTATGTACACAGGGTCCCAGTTACATCCAACAATAAAATGTAAAGGAAAAACAGGAATAAGATCTAAGGTATGAACTAAGAAAAACATTAACTAAAAATATGCTAAGCACTAATAGCATAAAAAACAATATGCCGAACAGCAGCACGAACACGAGTCTTAAGTTACTGAGCAGGAGCTGTAGTCTTTTGCCTCATCATGAGCGCCTCATGGGCAGCTGTGACTGAGTCGTCCTCCAATGCAAGAGTTGGGGGTTTGATTCCACCAGCAGTCACATGCCAGTGTCCCTGGGCAAGACACTGAACCCCTCACTGCCTCTGATGTGTGTCCCATTGGTGTATGTATGTGATAAAGCTCTGATTATTCTTTGTAGAGATCTAGTAGAGTGCCATATGAATGAGTAAATGAGGCACAGATTGTAGTGTAAAGCACTTTGAGCATCTCGATAAGATAGAAAGGCTCTACATAAGTACAGTCCATTTACCATTAACACAACGATACTCTGTTTATGTTGGTATAAAACAAGAAATGAAGCTAGAAAAACAGCACTAATTTACTCATGTTTAAACTTGTACTTTATTATAAATAAGCCCAGATTTAAATCAGCTACTAGTTGTTTTAAATTGTTAAACAGTCGTTCTGAAATTATTTTGGAACCAGAGCTTAATAAATCATGTTATCATGGTTTTTAAGGTCTGTATGACCGCATGGCACCTTAGGCAATAGATGTTTCTACACCGTGTCATGTTTAACGAGGCTGAGTCAGGTCCTCTGGACGGTTCTTCCAGAGGACCTGACTCAGCCTCTTAGATTTATCTACCTGGATTACTGAGCATGCATCAGGACACTGTGCCATGAGGAACAATTCAGCTCAGACTTTACAAAACACACACTGATAGCGCCATCTGGTGCATGTTTGCTTTTACTACACATTTTAGTTCATGCATCTGTGTCGATTAAAGGTGTACCTGTACTGTAGTGCTAAAAAAAGATTCAACTCCTTTGAAAAATGAATTTATTTCCATTCAAATTCACATCACTTTGATTTCTGTGTCTCCAAACCTCTGAAAATGTTCAATCAATTAAAAAAATGGTGTTTCTTTGTTGTTGTTTTAGGGTTTAAAGATTGTCTTCACTGATGCGTCCCGTCTTGTGTTTCGGATGAGTGGGAGTGGTGGAGGGACGGGTGCCACCATACGCATTTACGCTGAAAGCTTTGAAAAGGACCCAGAGAGACACAGCAGAGAGACTCAGGTATGAACACTGTGTGATGGTGTGTTCATGGGCCTGCAGCTTTTTGTTTTTGTGTGATGTACATCTTCCCCTTCAAATTAAACGAATGTTTCACTACTTTTGGACAGTTTGCGTCTAACATAGAAACATGCTGCATTCCATCAGTCTGGCTGCTATTAAAGAAACATTTCCAGTAATTATTTTAAGTGAGACTATTTAGCAACAGTCTGTCTAAGTGACTGTTTACGATGTGCAGCTGTAAGTTAGATTGTTAAAGCTGTTGGACTTGGAGACTTTGGAAGGTTTGGGAACTCTGGTTATTTTGTGGTCATTGAATTTAGTTCTGGTTGCACTTTAAACACCATGGAGAGTTGTAAAGCTGAAGTGTGACTTCCCCGCCACGTTTAGGTCTTTATCTTGCCTCTAATCAATCAGTCTTTCACTATCATATGTATAAAATTAAAGGAAGATATTCACAATTACGCATATTTTTTTAGCCAGATTAGAGAGATCTTTATAAACACCATTTATAAACAGAAATATAGCGTTTATTATTCAGTTAGTGGAGGAACAAGTCCTCTAAAGACATTTTCACATCACTGTGACATTTAAACATATGTGAATCCTATGAAAAAATAACCAGACATTAAAGAAAATGTACTAATTTGCAAATAAACTGTAACATCAAGTATGACATACAATTGACTGACAGACTAACTGAGAGAGGTGATGAACAGATAAATCCTAGATTTGGATTTATTGAGTTTAGAAGCAAAAGATAGCATTTGATTTCAACATTTGGATCACCGTGACATCTGAAACCAGGAACTGAATTATTCACTGCTTTTTCTTTGTACAACAGTGGAAACACTTTGGTTTAATCGTTAATATTAGCACTATCTGTTGTATTCACCAAAATACAACTTCAGAATAAAACAGAAACTTGTGTAGGAAATGTATGCTCTAAAACTTGTATTAAATACAGTTAAGTTGGCCATTAAGATTTTTTTTAAAGAGTATTTGATATTTGCTGAGAGAAATTACCGTACTTGCCGCCGTACACGTCACACTGCCGTATAAGTTGCATCAGTCCAAATTCAAGGGATTCAAGGTTCTTTATTGTCATTCACATCACGTGGTACATGAGGTGGAACGAAACTATGTACACAGGGTTCCAGTTACATCCAACAAAAATACAAATGTGTCTAACAAAGTGGGAAAAAAAAACATAAATAAGTTGCTTCGCTTTTTAAGTCGCATCTATTACACGTCACCACTGACAACCTGGAAATGTGGGCCGGTGTTGTGCCAAAAATAGATTGGCTGCCAAATGGCAGCCGCTGGAGCGTGCACGGGAGGACTTTAACAAGAATTTAACAATATTAATACTTAAAAACAGTTATTTGTTTGCTCGACATTATAGCAAACGTGTCTAATTCTAACTTTTCTTTAATAAATGCACTTTGACGGTCAAATCAGCTGCATTTCAAAAGCCGATTTGCGGAAGCAGGAGCGCGCAGAGGGACAACTCACTGTGCATTTCTTCGAAATTTAACCAAACACTTATTTGTTTGCTCGAAATTATAGCAAAGGTGATGAAGGGGGCTTTGTATGGCAAGACAAATGTCTCATTAATAGCCACTTTTACCTATTAATAAGGCACTCGGCTTGCCAAATTAGACGAGGGCCCTCTAGTGGCTGAAAATAGTAGTGTTCAATATTTTCCATGTCAGAATGAATGAAATCATCAGATCTCAGGCAAAAATTGAATTATAAATATGGAAGAAAAAAAAAACAAATATATCACTTCACTGTATAAGTCGCAGGCATGCTAATTTATGCAAAACAAATCTGCGACTTATATAGTGACAAATACAGTAAGTGTTTTTAGGGGGGGGTCATTTAGGTTAAAGCTGATGACTAAACTTGGTGCACGGGATCTGATGTTTTTTTTTCTGTAAAGTCCACACTTCTTCCACCAACTCACAATACCTCCAAAGCCCCGCTGTCATCTTTGATTAAAATATTTAGTGGTCCGTGTTTGTTCTTTCTGCAGGTGGTGCTGGGTCCTCTCATCGCCATCGCCCTGAAGATCTCAAACATTCATGAGAGGACGGGGCGGCGTGGTCCGAATGTCATCACATGAGCCAGCAGGGAGACACACAAACACACACACATTCACAAACAAAATATGCATCTACCTGCTTACACTGATAAACCCCTGTTCAAATTATTCTCTCTTGAGCTTATCTGCCATCCCTGTGGCTTCAGCCTGGTTTTACACTTTCCTTTTTTTTTTTAAACAAGCTGAGATGTGTTTTGCTTGGGTTTGCTTGGGTCCACTCATTTCTGTTCACTGCTATGAAAAATTAAAATAAAAATTACCATGAGTAGAAGAAAAATGTGTAAACAATAAACACAAATGTGCAGACAGAATATTAGTGTTTGTAGCTTGCTTTAATCAATGAAGGGATTCAAATAACAGTGCAGTAATCACTTCATGTTAGTTTAGTTAGTTTTCCATCCCAATCGGTTTTAATCGTTTCATTCATACACACAATGATCCTCACACGCCTGCAGGACAAAGCTATGGTACTTTATAGTCATGGTATAAAAAATCCTCTTCAATTCTGGGGTTTTATGTATAAGGACATAATAAAAACTGTCTGGTCTTTACCAGGTTCAAAAATTTTCTGAACAAATCTAACATTAAGTGAGTAAAAACATCATTAAATAATTAATTAATTGTAAAAAAACAAAAACAAAAAAAAAACATCTAGGAATGGGAAATGAGATTAATCTGCACCCCTAGGAATCAATGCACTCAAATCTCCTTGATTAACTGATCATCTCAGGGAAGTGGCAGAAGTTAGAGAAGGCGGGCCTGTGATTGGAAGGTCGCCGGTTCGACTCCCTGGACCAACAGCATCAAAATGTGGGTGGAAAAGGTGAAGTACCCATACCTGCCTCTACCCTCATTTGCCCCACTCTGGGCCCTTGAGCAAGACCCTTAACCTCCACCATCTGCTCCCAAACAGATCTCTTTTAGAAATGAGTCCTCGTGACTCGATGAGACTACTTGCATAAATTAAAGTTAAATAAATTAAATCTCCATGTGACCTCCTCTAGGAAAGCAGGGGTTTTGGGAGTTTGCTGGTTTGAAACAGACAGACGTGTCAAGAGGCAAAGAAGCAATTGTTGCTTTCTGTCAATCTAGGAAAAGTTAAAGGTCATTTTCAAACATCAAAGACCATCATTCTGCAGTGAACACAAATATTCACTTAAATATTAATAAGAATATTCAAGACATCTGTCAACCTTCCCATGAAATAATGCTCCAGCCACTTCAAGCCAAGGCCAGACCATGTAACGCTCAGAACAACTTCAAAAATTATCACAATAAAAACAAAACAAAGATTTTTGACTCTAGGCCTCAGTTAGAAGATTTAAGGTCATGACAGTACAATTAGACAAAGGCGGAATGAACGCAGCTTGTTGTGAAAGGTTGCTAGGAGAAGAACAGAACATGGCAGTGTTTCATCTAAATGAACCTCAAGACTTCAGGAGCAACGTCCTTTGGACAGACGAGACCAAAGAAAAGAGGTTTGGCTGTAATGCAAAGAAACGTTTAGTGAAAACCAGACACAGCGTATCAGCACAAACACCTCATACCAACTGTCAGGCACGGTGGTGGTGGCTGATGATTTGGGAACCTTGCAGTGAATACGTCAACCACGAACTCCTCTGTAGACCAAAGGATTCTTGAGTCATATGTGAGGCCATGTGTCCGACAGCTGAAGCTCGACTTAAACGGGGTCATGACTCTGGACGATGACCCCGAACACAACAACAAATAAACCTTAAAATAGCTGTTCAAAAGAATCAGGCTGTTGCAATAATCCAGTCAATAGTCTCAACCTGACTAAAATCTTTTTGCAAACAAACTTCACTGAACTGAAACAACATTGTAAAACAGAATGGGCCATAATTCATCCTCAACGGCAAGAGACTGATAAAGCCAGAAATAACTTCAAGTTATCATCAGTGCTAAAAGTGGCTTTACAAGCTGTTCAAGCTTCATGTACTTAGATTCTCACACCATTTTCTTCTGTTTTGGCTGTTTTTGTTTAATAAATATTATCATGGTGGAATCTGTTGTGCGTGTTTTGTAAACTCAATGTTAGGTTGAAATTGTTTTAGAAACTTGTAAACATCAGACCAGTTTTTATTGACTTCCATTGAGTAAAAAGCCTAGAATTGAAAGAGGGGGACAATCTTTTCCCCTCATCTGAACGTTTAAAGTGCATTTAAGGACGTAAAATAACTAATAAATCCTTGGGAAATTTCCAAAAGGACTTTGGACACATTGGATGTTTTTTTTTCTTTGTATAATCATGTTTGAAAATATTTTATTCTATTTTTATTGTTCAAATAAACAATTGTTTTTGCGTGCAGTGCTTCTCTTCTTCGGTCAAATTGGACTAAACGCAAATAAATGAAAACAAATCAAAGATAAATAATGCATGGGGCGCTTTTGGCATTTTAGGATTTTATTAAAAAAAAAACTCTTCATAAACAAGATGGATGAGTTGATGTCTCACCTCGGGTGGTGATTGAATCACGCTCATTTTTAAGCTGAGTGCAGGAAACACGTTAAAGTTGTTCTGTTGTGATAAGAAATTACGAGGTTTGATCTTTATACTGCACGAACGAGACGCACTGGACAGAACTCATAAACTCTGATTGCCGTCATTTTGAGTTAAGGATATGCCGGTGGATATCCGCAGGGATGTGTTCACTCAGCCAGACGGATGTTACGTGTCAGCTTTTAAGGCTATTGCCCTGTCCAGCTACATTTTATGATGTCAGGCGTTACAGCTGATCTTTGTCACCTTTGAATATTTTGCCTATAAGATATTTTAATGCTTACTGTAAGATGGGTAAAGAGCGCTAAAGTTGTGGGTAATTACAATAAAGAAATAAAGCACCAGCAAACCTAGACAAGTTAGCTTTAAAGAATAGTTAAGATTTTTGGAAGCATGTTTCTGTAAAAAAAAAAAAACTGTTACATCTTACTTGTTGTAAATGGCTCTTTAAACAATCTCAGTTTGGAGAAATAAAACTTAGTTCTGACCAGAGAATTAGGCTTAAAACTGCTCCAAGGAGCACATTTTTACTAAACAGGGCTTAGGATTGATTCCAACAACAATTTCAAATGTTTTAAAGCCATTAATTCAAATGATATTTTAATAAACTTTAAAATGGCACCAGTTTTGCAGAAAGCATTAACATAGAAATTTGTGGTTATTTGCAAGCATGAGTAATGGCTGCAGGAGCTAGCTATAGTAGTTTTGGTGCAGACTAGGCCACTTCCTGCTAGAACAGGGCTATTCAATAAACTGCTCAGGGGACCACAGTTACTGAAAGCCAGCAGCTCAGGGGCCGGACATCCAGCAATTAAAATCATTATGTAAATAGATTAAGTATTATAATGTTCTGTAACTTTTAATTTTGTTTTATTGCAATGAATCATAAATGCAATAAACAGAACCAAAACACAGAAGCCCCCCCAAAAATATTATTTTTTTTATGAACTCATTGGTGGGCCAGAATGAAGTCACCCATGGGCCGGAAGTGGCCCGCGGGCCACCAGTTGAATAGCCCTGTGCTAGAATATTATAAAATTTCTGCTTGAAATAACCATGCAATGTAAAACTGATGGTTGTGTAAAGATATATAAAATGGCACTCATAAAAACTGCTCTGAAAGTTTTGAAACAGGAAACGTTTTATTAGAGCAACGACTTTGCTTTGGTTTAGGCCAATCCTGTGTTCGCTGTTAGATTGTCAGTCTGCTCAGAAATCAAATATAGTTCTTTTAACATGTTCAAAGTGCTACCCACAACAGGTAAGATAGTGACTGTTTATGACATTTTTACAGAACCGCGCATAAGCCTTTCCCTTAAAACTGCAGTTAGTGAAACGCGCTGTAAGGTGTCTCCCTGCTCTGCTTTGGACCCAGATAAAAGGGTCTGCAGCTCCTGAACCACACTAGATACTGAGTTACGGAGGAGCAATAAGGGAGTAGATAAAATCTATGAGAAACTGCCTGAAGTTTTTTTTTTTCAGTCCTGGTAAGCAGTGAATGATGTCCTTGTGAATGTCTCTTGGTGTTACTAAACGCTGCAGTGCAGAGTCAGCTCAACCTTTGAGCCTTTTGGCCTGATGATGCTTTGCTTGACCACACGACATGAATCTAATACATTCATACACTTCATAAGCCTCCAAACCCATTTTTGAATCTATAATTTTCTTCTTCATTGACTCGCGATTTTCTATTTTGGCTCATAAGTTAATCGAGCCATTAATCATTTCTCGTTGCGCCAAAGCTACGTGTCACATCAAAGTCAATGTCTTTAATGTAACTCCATCAAGTACCGGTAGATAAAAAAAAAAGAAGATTTTGAGGCTTTTTTTTGCTCTACCCTCAGAATAGCTTTCAAACGGGTGAGTTTTGATTTTGTGGGATGTACTGTAGTTAGAAATCTTAGTCATTTTGATTTTTTTTTAAGAAAAAGTTTGGTTAAATGATTCAACTCATATTGTAGAACTTGCTTTAGGTGCTCATTGCTCTACAGTATATTGCAACTTTTAAAACTTGAAAGTTTTCTTTTATCTAAATGATATCAGACTGCTTGGTCAGGAGACTTACTTTGACAAACTTTGAATGTTTTAAATTGAGAGAAAAAAATTAAGGAACACAAACAGACACGGCACAGCATATACAGTAATAATGTTTGTCTTCTATAAAACTTCGACATGAAACTTTTAAAACATTCTTATTTACATTTGTAAACACATAGGCTTGACTTACAGCACAAAGTTCTTCCCAGTTGGCTGAATTAGACCTTTGAATCAAAAGTGCAGTTCAAACTTGCTCGAGAAATCAACAAACAAAACCGTTTGAGGACCTTCAACACGGTTCAGCTCTGCTGCTTCCCTGCAGTCATTTTTTTGGTCAGTAATCCTTCTCTTAGTTTGAGGACGAGACCTCACTCTGCTCACCTGCATCCGTCTGTTGACGTGGAGTCTGAAGCACCTGACTGTACCGAGGCGGATGCTCCCAGCTCCATGTGCAGTCTGGAGCCTCCGAACTGTCCTGGCTGTACAGAGGAGGAGCAGGACTCATGACCCCTCTGTCAGCTGAAACAAACCCTTCAAGCTGACGACCAGGACTAATGTGACTTTGCGACTCTTCATACGATGGAGGAAAACTGCTGGGCCTGATGGGGACAAAAAAATCCGCTTGAACTGGTTTTATAAGATTCAGATGAGACATTTCATTATAAGAACAAACGCTAACTTGTTTTTATCTTAGCAACAGATAAGTACTGCTTTTAAACTCGACAACAGCACAAATGTAATGGTAGTTCTTTGACAGAAACTTTTTTTTATTTTTAATTAATCATGCTCTTGAGTTGCTTTACCTTGCAACGGTGAAGATCTGAATGTGCCGCTCACGTCGTCTTCTCTGGTACATTTTGCTCCTCATGCTGTAGAGGTTCCAGAAGACCCCAGTGAGCATAGCCAGAAAGCCAAAGACAATCATGGCATAACTAGGAACAAGCTTCAAGTGAAAGCTGTGCTCGGTCTGCAGGGACAACAGGTAGGCCCCGATGCAAGTCAAAGCAAATCCTACAGCAGGTAGAAACATCCGAACGAAGGACAACAGCTGCTTCTTCACGTCCATGCTCACTGCTGCTTCTTGGAGGTCAAAGGTTGTTTTGCACATGGAGCTTTGCAGACCCGGTTTTCAGGTAAGATAGGACGACAGCATGAGATAAAATGCTGACCAGAACTGAGCTCTGAAAAACAAATGTGCAGGTGAGTGTGTAAGCCTGCAGACTTCTCAGTTCTCAGAGGGAAGTGACTGAGCTGATCCTGCCTTCTGGGTTGTATATTAACACTATAATGATCTGGGGTCACAAGAATGAGAACAATAATAGCTGTGGTGAAGCAGAAGCCGGGCCAGAAAAGATAACAGACTAATATTAACAAGCTTGGAACTTCAAAATAAAGAGCTTCATTGTGGTTTTAGAGTTGTAAATTTATTTATAGACTGAAAATTGTTGTGGTAACATTAGAAATATCTATGTGTCTTACCCTGACCCTTTCAAGTACAATCTTAATTTTTGTGCAAAGCTTTTGTTATTTTCAGGCTTCTGTAAAGTCTTGAAATATGAATAGCCATGACAAAATAAATAAATAAATAAATAAATAAATAAATAAATAAATAAATAAATAAATAAATAAATAAAAATCCCTGGTGTACAAAACAGATCATAGTTCACATGTATAACTTGTGACAATTAAACTTTGTTTAACAAGCTGCAAAATGCAGCAATAGTTCGTTAACATGCAATTTTTTTTTCTAAATAAACGTGTAAATAATTTCATGATGCACAGAAGGAAGGAAAATCTCCATGCTACTCAATTCTCCAAAAGTTTAAGATTAACAAGACTAAAGTGTGCAACGGTTCAACAAAAAGATGGTGAAACATTCCTGCTCTGGATGAGCCTTCTCTGAGTTCATGGAGCAACTGCACAGTTAGGTGCTTGTACTGAAATGAGCAAACAAATGAAAAGATTTCATAATAATTGTTTGCTTTTGTTGTAATAGTCATCATTTGAAGGTTTGCTCTTTAATAACGACTTGTTTTTTTCTAAATGTATCAGTCAGCCAAGCTACATGCAAAGCCCCAGCCGAGCCTGATCATCACAGAATTGTTTTAAGATGCTGCAGACACCAAGACTGTTTTACATTTGAAAATTAATGAACTTTTATGAGTTAAAGTCCTATTTGATTAATCTTATCCACATATGAAGCAGCGATTTAAATACTCATACATTATTTCAGAAAAATCCTTTTTAAACATGTGTTTTTCTACTTTTACATATTTATTTACTCTGATCACACAGGGTGCCGAGGGACTGGAGGAGGTGTGGTATTGCATGAGGAAATCTGGAGTAGCAAAAAGTATGTTAGACTGGTACAGGACATGTATGAGGACAGCAGGACAGTGGAGAGATGTGCTGTAGGAGTGACAAATAACAAAGGTGGAGTTGGGAGTGCATCAAGGATCAGCTCTGAGCCCCTTCTTGTTTGCTCTGGTGATGGACCGACTAACAGATGAGTTCAGGCAGGAATCCCCGTGAACGATGATGTTTGCAGATGACATTGTGATCTGTGATGAGAACAGGGAACAGGTGGAAGAGAACTGAAAGAGGTGGATGTATGCACTTGAAAGAAAATGAATGAAACTCAACTGTAGTAAGACAGAGTGTGAGAGTCTGTTTGTTTTGTGTTCTTTCTTTAGAATCTGATGTTTCCTGCCTTCCTCTGTGTTTATCATGTTGCCAGCTCCTACTTCACCTGTTCATAAATCCCAATCACCCCAGGTGTTCATCATTGTGTCTCATTAGTGTCCCTTTAAGTTTAGCATCTTTGTGCTTTCACCTTGTCCATGGATTGTGCTTCTCACAGCCGTTAGTGTTCTCCTGTACTCTGAATTTTTGTAAGTGTTTTGCTGCCACGTCAGCCATTGTTTTTTAAAAATAAATCAGAATAGTTTGTTTTACCTTCGAGTTTTCCCATGTCTGTCTGCACTTGGGGTTTAAGACCACTGCCAAACATGACAGAGTACATGTGTGAATGAGAGGGAGCCCAGTGGAACAGTGAGGCTACAAGGAGCAGAGGTCACAAAGATACAGGACTTCAGAGAGACCAGGCAGGATGGAGTGGATGGAGAAAAGTTTCTGGAGTGATTTGTGACAAAAGGGTGTCAGCAAAGATCAAAGGAAATGTTTACAAGACAGTGGTGTGACCCGCTATGTTGTATGGTCTGGAGACAGTGGCATGGACAAAAAGACAGAAGAAAGAACTGGAAGTGGCAGAAATGAAGATGTTGAGGTTCTCCTTAGGAGTTACAAGGATGGATATGATTAGGAATTAGATCATCAGAGGTACAGCACAGGTTGAACAACTGGGAGATAAAGTTAGAGAGACCAGACTGAGATGGTTTGGACATGTCCAGAGGAGGGACAGTGGGTATATTGGTAGAAGGATGTTAGAAATGCAGCTGCCAGGAAAAAAAACTAAGAGAAAGGCCAAAGAGGATATATATGGATGCAGTTAGAGAGGACATGGAGGTAGTTGGAGTGAGGAAAGTGGATTAAAAGGACAGAGAGAGCTGGAGGAGGATGACTCGCTGTGGAGACCCCTGAAGAGGGAAAACCCAAAAGAAGAATTGTCAGTGTGTGAGTATTTTATCATCCTTCCTCATTTTCCTTAGATTATTTTAAATTTTCTTCTCATTATTCCTCCCTAAATCTGACGGTAAATTCAAAGCAGAAAAAAAATATGAGGCTTGCTGTGCACTTTGACCTTGATGCTCACAGCAAATTGTTTTGTTTAAATCTTCTGTAATAAGTCACTCATCTTCCTTGTTATATAAAGATGAATGTGAAACTACATTTAACTGAATGGGACTCATGGCCACACTTTGAACAAGTCAAGCAGCTCGATCACAAATTCTTACATTTTCTGCTGCTGTCACACACCTCTGCAATAAAAACTTTGATTTTTTTCTTCTTCTCAGAAATAAATAGATATGTGCATTTTGTATAAAAAGATAACTTTCTCTCCATTCTAACCTAGTTGGTCTTTGTTGCTTTTTCAGCATTGAAACAGGTAATGCTTTCCCATCGTCGCATTTCTGAATGGTGCCATGATGTGGATTAAATCTCTCCACGCCCTCCTTCAGTGATTCTCATGACTGCAGGCCAGTAATCAGAATCATCAGCACGCTCGATGGCAATGATTTTATAAACCTTATCAGTCTTATCAGTGTGGAGTTCATTTTGGGTAGAGCCTTGATATTGCACCATGGGGAATATTTGTCAGTTTAATAGCACACCCCTGTGTCCTAACACTGTGCCTATCCAGTGCCAGGCTATGAATATGCAGGATTCACCGATAAATAAGAATGAACAGTGGCACTAGGAATTGCTTGGCACGCTGTAAATCACTTGCACACATTGTGCAGTTGTGAGCAATATATCAACTCCTGTAAGACATCAAACTGTGGAGCTTTCAGCAATACAAAAGCTTTACTTTGTTTTGAAGACATTTTACATGGCTTTTTTTAATCTTTATTATGGCAATCATGCAGCGTCTGGACAGATAAGAGATGACCTGCAACTATGACATGAACTATAGTCTTAACAGGAGGCGACTGACACAGCAGTTAGCTGCCTGTGCAAAACAGATCATCCGAAGGCAGTTTCACCCAGTTCCTCTGGGAATGCATTAGTGCTCGTGGGGATTTCAGTGTCTGTCTCGTTACAACAGTTTCAACGTAGGTGAGAAATCCTCCCTCAAAGTGTTTCCCTCCTTCCCTCTGGGGATTTGTTTTATTTATTTGAGATCCTTGTGTTTTAAGGTTTGTGTCACATTGCAGGGAACTTCTGGCGCCCAAGACGCACCTGTTCATCACACCATCCAGAACAACAGCTGTGTTCTTATTTGTTTTTACAGACTTCCATTGTCTAAAGGTGTACAGCAGCTAAAATCACAAAACAATAAATGGAAAAAAATAACATTGGTTACACATATTACAACAAGAAAGGCAACATTTTTTAATGAAAACTATCAAACGATATAGACACAATTTTGTGATACAATGTAATTTATTGAAAACATTCAGGGCTCATTTTTGTGTTTTGGGGGGCTACTGAAAACACAAAATCAGCAAATATCTCCCAGATGTTCCTCTTTATGACTTTCTGCTGTGGCTGGAGTGAATTATCAGTCACATCACAGCCAGAAGGCCTGGCGTTCCTTCAATGAATGCATATCACCCACCGCCTTTCATAAAACAGCTGTGAGCCAAGATTATCTCGTGATGGGACAGGAGGAAGATGTAGCCATTTTAGTCAAACCTTGTAAATAATATTGACTCTCAGTTACTACCACACTGAATTTTAGCTCAGTAATTGTATGATTTGATGAGTTATAGCCAGTTTTGTGTTTCTGTAATGCTGATTGGCTGTGGGGCTCATAGGATTGATCAGTTGTACATCCAGTGATTACTTTCAGAGTTGTATTCAAATCCATCCACTGGTTCATGAAATGTTTGGTAACAGACAGGTTTGTTGTGAAGTGTGCATTTTGTGGTACTTAGAGCATGTGTTAGGGACGACACTCAGCTACTACCACACCACATTTTAACTCCATATATAAAAAGCTGGATGAGTTGTAGCCATTTTTATTTTTAGCTATAGTTGATCAGCTGTGGGGGCCATCCTGAATGCAGCTGACTTGAAAAAATGATCGGTTGCAGGTGTTTGTCCAGTAAATCATTTCTGAGCATTCATGAGATATTTTTCCAACACTGCAAACAAATACACACACAAACACATGCAAAAACATGATCATCTTCTGTGGGAGATAATAAAAGTGCAAATACCCTGAGATCAGGTGACTTTGAAGGAAATAATGTAATAATTTATGCTTTTCTTCTCCCTGACTCCATGTTTGTTTTTGTCACTAAATTAATATTTTGTTCAAGTAGAAGTGAACTGTGTAACCATCAGCTGATCCTGCTGGTTATGGTTGATTATTGCCTGTTGGTCATTCCTCTGTTTGTTTGCCAAAACTTGGTTCTAAATATCAACATTGGAATATGCAAT